ATAGTGGTTGGGGCCTTTGTTGTGGTTGTGGCAGGCTCATTTGTAGTAATAGGTGACTCTGAGGTGGTAGTAGTGGGCTCTGTCGTGGTAGATGGTGCCTCTGTTGTAGTGGTGGGTTTAGTTGTCGTTTTACCAATGGTAGTACCAGTGGCCTCTGATGTGGTCGTAGTTGTGGGGGAAACAGTTCGGGTCGTTATTGTGGGTGTCTCAGTTGTAGTAATGAGAGCCTGTGTGGTAGTGATAACAGTGGGCTCTGCTGTGGTTGTGGTTGCCTCTTTTCTGGTTGTAGTGGAGGGGTTATCTGTTGTGGTCGTGGTTGTATGGGGCTCAGTTGTAGTAATAGGGAACTCTGATGTTGTAGTAATGTGCACTGTGGTGGTAGAAGGGGGCTCTGTTGTGGTGGTAGGCTTTGTTGTAGTTATAGCAGTGGTTGTTATGACAGCTTTTGAGATGGAAGAAGATGTGGGTGACTCTGTTGTTGTCGTGGTCGTGGGGGGCTCCATTGTAGTAGCGGTAGCATCTGTGGTGGTGGTGGTCGTGGACTCTGTTGTAGTAGTGATAGCCTCTGTAGTGATTGGTTTTGTTGCAGTCATTGTAGTGGTGGTAATGGCAGCATTTGAAGTGGTAGAAGAGGTGGGGGTCCCAGTAGTGCTGGAGGTTGTGGGTGGCTCAGTTGTAGTAGTGGGAGTACCTGAGGTGGTAGAAGTGGTGGAGGGCTCTGTTGCGGTCGTAGTTGTCGGGAGCTCAGTGGTAGTAGTGGGAGCCTCTCTGGTAGTAGTGGTGATCTCTGTGGTAGTGACTGGCATTGTAGTGGTCATAGTAGTGGTCGTAACGGTGGCTTCTGAAGTTGTAAGTGATTCTGTGGTGGTTGTGGGTGTAGGGGGCACAGTGGTAGTAATGGGAGCTTGTGTGGTGGTGATGGAGCTGGTGGTGATAGTGTGTTCTGTGCTGGTAGTGGGTGCCACTGTTGTAATAGTGGTTAGGGCCTTTGTTGTGGTTGTGGCAGGCTCATTTGTAGTAATAGGTGACTCTGATGTGGTAGTAGTGGGCTCTGTCGTGGTAGATGGTGCCTCTGTTGTAGTGGTGGG